TGTTTTTGAAATGAACTTTATTATTATTATTATTATTATATAAACATGATACCGATCCAGTACCCATTCAGGCATTTTCCTCTAAGGCCATGGTGTAAAATGTGCTTGTGTTCCACTTGATCTCTACTGAAGCATATTAATGGAACTGTGGAAAGCCTGTTTTCTTTAAATAATTTATTATTCTACAGAGGGTTCATTAAATTATCTGTTTAACAGGTTATTGTATTAGAATTACAGACCTGTTTACTCTTACGATTTTGGCGTACAGTATACGATTTTGAGGTGCATACATTATATATACTGTATGTTTATTTTCTTACTATTAAGATAATGTATTGAACGATTTTGTGTTGATATTGTACGCTTTTAAGAGTTTTAGGGTAAACAGGTCTGGAATTATCTTAAAATGTCAATAAGGGATTTCAATATTCTTTACTCTTTGTGCAGGTCATTTCAGAGTCAGAAGGCATAGAAGCTGACCTTGTTGTGTCTGCCATTTACAGCAAAGGTCAGAAACTCAAGTTATTTTCATTTCCTGTCATTCAAATCCATTTTATGGTGGCATAAGAAGGTTGAGATTGTGACAGTGTGGGACAAATTGATTATTTAATTTTATAAAATTTTATTATTTTAAATTTTAAAAAGATTAGAACTTCAATTACCATAAATAATTGATGATTTCAGATTTGGCTGCTATTCTCCCAACATCCATGAAAGAACTGAGAGAAGACCTGTCATCCCTTCCTTCTGTAAATGTTGTGGTTGTTAATCTGGAGTACAAGGATAATGTTTTACCAGTGAAGGTATGAATGGGTTATAGTAAGTAATGATGTGCTACAAGGATAATGTTTTACCAGTGAAGGTATGAATGGGTTATAGTAAGTAATGATGTGCTACAAGGATAATGTTTTACCAGTGAAGGTATGCATGAATTATTGGAAGTTAGGATATGCTACAAGGATAATGTTTTACCAGTGAAGGTATGCATGAATTATTGGAAGTTAGGATATGCTACACTACAAGGATATTTTTTACCAGTGAAGGTATGCATGAATTATTGGAAGTTAGGATATGCTACAACCAATTATTTCTGAATAGAAGTTGGCATCTCCTGCTCAAGATTGTAAAGGTAAACAGTCCAAGACCTGTTAGATGGAATGTTTTAAACAAAAGTTGGTAAGGTAAACAGTCCAAGACGTGTTAGATGGAATGTTTTAAACAAAAGTTGGATTATTGTGGTGGATGTAAATGTTGTCTCGGGGTAGGGTCCCCTTAGTTGCATCCACAGAAACAATTACGGAGTCTAAAACTTTTTTCCCTGGCCTCTACCTGACTGATGTGTGGTTAGAATCATATAAACATAAGGCTTTTAATAGTCTCAAGTTTATTCAATTTACCAACTTCAAATGCAATCCATGAGACTGAAAAGACAACAGCATGTAATGAATGTGACCTGAATGTGACAATTATGTGATTGGAAAGTGATGCAATTCTGTGTGCGTGCTACATAATGTGATGAAAGGGGAAACATGTGACTTCTGAACAAACCATTTTACCTACTGCAATTTTTAAAATATTTTTGGAATGCATATCCATGTGGATATTTGGCTGCTAATTAAAAACTCATACAGAATCAGGTTTCAATTTCATGCTTATTGGGGCATTGCTCTATGACAAAATTACTGACTTGGCCAATGTGTGGTGTTTTTTTTAAAATTTTTTTGGCTTCCTTTGACCTAAAATGCTAAACATATCCATTTTTGTTTAAAATTTCTCAGGGCTTTGGCCACCTGTTGCCATCATCAGAAGGTGGACCTGTGCTAGGGATAGTCTACGACTCTTGCACATTCCCAGAGCACAACAGGAAAGGATGTCCAGACAGCACACGTATTACTGTATGTCATATTTTCTGTAAATGTATGACTTAAATGTAGAAGTATGTCTCACTCTACTGCCATAGTATTTGTGAGCTTATTGACTTCCAAACTTTTGACGTAATGAAAATGGAGAATTTTTTAAAATTTTAAAACTGTACCTCTTTTATTCATAAATAAAGAGCAAAATGTCAGAATATTAATTCTCAGGGTATGTATGTATGGCTGTAACGCTGTGTTCAATAGGTGCGCTAAAGGAAATTCCCAGAAGTTAGCGCTAATTGAGGTTCTTACAAAGTGTGCCACTTGAATTCATGTTTTGTCAAACAACTTTTGTAGACAGGAAGTTGATGCATTGCCGCCGCCATTCTTTGGCGAGTTATTTCTAGTAAAAGCAATTGTATAAAAAATCTCAGCAATTATCTCTTAAGCTAGTGGCCACAAAGCTATACCCTTGACACATGTAGTAAAGGGCTCACCTCATTCATTCAGTCAACATGCAATCACTAAGACAAATAACATAAAAGTACCGGAGGTGATTGTAAAATTTGGTTTAATTTATTTCTAGTGCAGGCTTAAACCATCGTGTAGGTAAATCGATCAGTCAGGTCTGGAGTGTGCCATTTGTATCTCCAGGTCATGCTAGGTGGGTCGTGGTACAACCAGCTGCTGTCCCCAGAGGGGAAGCTACCCTCAGGTCCTGAGCTTGTTTGGATTGCAACGCAGGCGGCAGCCAAGCAGCTGGGCATCAGGTCTCATCCAATCAGATCTCATGTTTCATTGCAGACAGTAAGTAGCTAGTTGACAGGCATGAGCTCTTGAAAGCCAGACATGAAAATTTTCAGTGTCTGAGACAGTGTGTTTACATCTGAGAGTGTGTTGAGTTTTGTGACATAAAATCTGACAGGCACATTTATTTGGCTTAAAAGCTATGGTACATTGAGATAAAGTCATATATATAAGGTAAAACAACATTTCATTTTAAATTAATGGCCATTTTATAATATTTTGATATTTTTGTGTATTTGGTATTTTTCTTACAAGCAATGGAAATTAACATCAGTTCAATTACCTTCTGCCTCTAGAAAATGTACAAGAATTAAATTTCTTCCTGCTGTGTTTATTTATAAGTTAACTTGACAATGACTGTCCACCATGCTCTCTAACAGGAATGCATACCACAGTATAGAGTAGGTCATGTCAACTGGCTGGCAAAAGTGGAGCAAGCGGTAGATCAGAGTAACCTCCCACTGAAACTCGTTGGATCATCCTACAGAGGTCCTGCCGTCAACGACTGCATCAACAACGCCAGGAAAATGGTGGAGGCCATGAGACCAGTATAACTCATGGTGCTAGCAAACATGTTAATTGATGTACTTATCATGTGTGTTTCTCTTCAATGCTTCGTGCAAACTGATCTCGATCACTGGGTAAGGCTGGTCAGTTGGCAAGGGGGGGGGGTGTAAACGTGGTCAGTGGGTAAGTTAGTTGGTAAGGGTGGTCAGTGGGTAAGTTAGTGGTTAAGGGTGGTCAGTGGGTAAGTTAGTTGGTAAGGGTGGTCAGTGGGTAAGTTAGGGGCTAAAGGTGGTCAGTGGGTAAGTTAGTGGATAAGGGTTGTCAGTGGGTAAGTTAGCGGTTAAAGGTGGTCAGTAGGTAAGTTAGTGGATAAGAGTGGTCAGTGGGTAAGTTAGTGGATAAAGGTGGTCAGTGGGTAAATTAGTGGATAAAAGTGGTCAGTGGGTAAATTAGTGGTTAAGGGTGGTCAGTGGGTAAATTAGTGGTAAAGGGAGGTCAGTGGGTAAGTTAGTGGATAAAGATGGTCAGTGGGTAAGTTAGTGGTTAAGGGTGGTCAGTGTGTAAGTCATTGGGTAAATCAGTGGGTAAGTTAGTGGTCAATGGTGGTCAGTGGGTAAGCTAGTGGTTAAGGGGGGGTCAGTAGGTGAGGGTGGTCAGTATGTTAGTGACTACTTTCAACAATAAAACTAAGGTCCTCCTTGTTTTAGTGCAATAATGATTAGTGGCAAAATAATTTCAACATAAATTATAGTGTTTCCTTTCAATGAGATGAAATAATGTCAGCTAATGTTTATCATCTCAATACAATTTGTGGCTACCTAGGGGTTTAAGTTAATGATAAATAACTTCAGCTGTTCTTATAAACTCAATACAATCTGTGACAACCTAGGGGTTGATGACAGATTATTTCAGCCATGGTTATAATCCTGGTGCATTGAGTGTCAACTTAGGTTTTTAAAATTTTTGCGAATTTTCTTGATATGTAGAAGTAGAAGTAAAAATGCTAAACAGATTTTTTGAAATTGTTAAACATTTTTAATGATTTTTTCTTTGTTTGTTGAGAAACCAGATCTCCAACACTAAGGGGTTTTGACCACTTAGGGGAAGACCATATTATTTTCGGGGAGTAAAGCGCAAGCAGATTGGTTCTGCTTTCATATCGTTGATCTCTGGTTTGGCCATTTAAACATGGATTTGAAGGCAGTGCATTGAATTGGAAGGAAAGAAATTATTCAGAATAAAAGTATACTTTTTCTTGACTTTAAGCTATATTATTGAATATGTTTTAATTAACCCTACTCAACCTACTGGAATCGAGTTTAGAAACAACAAACGTGAATTTGGGAACCAAACCAGAAATGAAATAAGTATGCGGCAACCACGAGCAAGCTACTCTGTTTTACAAAAATCTTGTTTTGTTTCCCATACAGGAATAAGGCGCTGTTAGGGGAGGGAAAAACTATTGTTGTACATTCGCATCACAATCAAACAGTAGAGATTGTTGTTAGAGACTATCCTGCCAACAACAACAAACAGTAGCATGTTGTTAGAGAGTATCCTGCCAATCCTATGTTATGCAATTATTTTGACTGAATAAGTGTATACCATTTGTTGTTAAAAATATTTATAATCTTTATTTTTTTCCCCAAGTTGATTTTTTTTTCATCACTTTGTCATTCATCTAAAGGGGGTCTCAAACTTTTAGGTCCTCGGGTGAGATTTTTGTGTTGGACATGCTCAGAGGGCCAGACCTACTGCCCGGTCCAGTCCCATATTAACTGTATGCTTATGTCCCCATGGCAACCATAGGGCATTATGAGTCATTTTATAGTAAATTCGACGCAAAGTGTCCGATTAATTTTTGTGCATTGTCACATTTTAAAAAAAAAAAAGTTATTGACTTGTTCTGTTTATGTAAAGAATGGCATGTCTGATGTCTGTTGAAACTCCATGACATTCTTTGTCTTACTGTGTAGCAAAATGTTAAGTTTACCGTGAATGTCCACCATAAAAAAAGCAACGGTTAACACTTTTTCCATAGTTTTTTTTAAAATTCCACAATTTTAACAGCCCTCTATGAATTTTCAAATTTCTATGAAAATCACATTCTCACGAAGTATCTAGAACAGCTCCAAAATTATTTGTTTGCACTGACGTATTACATCATTTTGCAAAAGCACATCACCTTGCTGTTCTCATGAGTCTATGAGAAACAGATGATGTCGCAGCGATTATTTTGACATTGATATTGTTATGACCGTTGCTGTAACTTCATCAAAATTCATGTTCAGTTTTGAACACAGAAATGGCCCAGATAAATTATGCAGTGATAAATCAATTTCTTTTTGAATGTCTTAAAATAACTTGCAAGACCGACTAATTTAAACGTACAATTTATTAAATTTTGCGACACGCTTGAGACACTGCTTTAAAAATAATTTTTTTTTTTTTAATGCAATTGCAGAAATTGTCAGCTGGCCAGCTGGAATGACCTCATGGGTCCGATTTGGCCAGCGGACCAGACTTTGTGTACCCCCTGATCAAACGCAAAGACAGTTATTAAAATTTACACATTCAATTCCCCATTTAACGCCTCACACAGTGACTGGACGAGATTTCATTACTTGATCTAGAACCATGAAGTAATAATAGAGTAAAAAAAATCTGGTACGGTGCATGACTTTTTATCTATGCTGTTACAGTTGAATGAAATATACACAGACATCCCTCACCAATAGACCAGCACAGTTTTGTTAAAAATAATTTATTTATTTATTTATATGTGAATCTTATATATGAATTAAACAGAGGTTATTAAAATTACAGTTTTTAAAAAAACACCATTTTTGCTTTGTTGTATCTCTCACTGTAACAACACATCTTGGATGTGCTCCCATGAATAAAACCATTCTTGCTAAGCTCACGGCAATAGTATCACATCCTCGTTAAGCTCCCTTGAATAGTAACACAATTTTCCTCATTAAGCTCGCTTGAATAGTAACACAATGTTTTGCCAGCTTTTAGTTCACAGTCACAGACACTGAGGGGTGGTCCATGGGAGGTAATCGGGTTTGCTTGCCGGGTTTCTTGTGTTTGGTCAGAGAAGACATGAACTGCTGCCTCTTCTTGTCCACCTTCTGCTGCTGCGACGACACCGAGATCGGGGGGAGGATGGAGTCGACCTTCGGAGACTTTGGAAACTTGAGGAGATTTCCGATTTTGTCCAGTATGCCACTGTGGAGTTCAAGAGACAGGATCTGTTAAAGCTGCTTACATTTGTTTGTTAATTTGATATAATAATCTTTTTAAAGCTTTTTAGTTAACTTGACTGTTTCCTTTCAGCTGTCTGTGGGTTCTTGGGTTTTCTTGCCATTCACTGTGCCCCCTTTTTGACACCCAACTTCACCCTGATCCTAGAGAGCTTACTTTTGTTATAAATCTTCTACTTGTGGGACATTCTAATGTAGGAACACTTGATGTTCATTAACTAATGTCTGCATGTTTTGTAACTTTAAAAAAAAAAACATCTCAATGTCGAAATTGAAAAAGACAAACATAGGTTTTAATCTTCAAGTTTTTTTGTCCTTTTTAAAATCTGCATTTAAGACTTAGGGCACATAAAAGCAAATGAAGGCGCAAGTGTTGGAAGTGCTTAAGTCACATTTTTCCCAAAGTCAACCTAAACTCTGACCGTATCCGGTCCGATTGGCCAAGTGTAATGTATAAATGTGAACACATTAAAATGTATGTAGGTCCCTTATCTCAACAAGCCAAAAAATAAGAATGATCAAATTTTATTTACCAAAAGAATATTTGAACCGGATTATCTCAAAATGTTTTTTAAAATTTTTTTTTACTTAAGTACTATTAATTAGCCCTAAAGTCTTCAAAAGCTCTTTCTTTTAACAACAAAAATTCTATTTTTACATAAATGTATATATTTTTTGCATCTGGTGTGGCTGCTTCCTTTTCACAACTGTCCCTCCCCCTACTCAACATGTTTTATATGAGTAAAAAAAAAAAAAGCAGTCAAGCAGTGAGCTTCATGTGTGGCGGTTGAACTCTGGGATTTTTTCTAGGGCAACTATTATTATATTTATCAATAAAGAGCCAAGGGTATGGTGTTGGACTGTCTGTAGGAATCTCTGTAGGACTGTATGTAGAGCTATTGTTTAAAGGCCCGCAGGTTAGGGTGTAAGACTATCTGTAGGCCTATTGTTTAATAGCTGGCATATATTATAGAAAATGAAAAGTTAACTTTTTTTAGTAACACTTGGACCCATCGGGTATTTTCTCAGAATACCTGGACCCGGTGTAAACATCCCCCCCTCCCCCTCCCCCCCCCGTTAAGCCCTAGTGTATTAGTTTTATTCAAAGATGATAATTTACTAAACTTAACCCTAATATCACATAGTATTACTTACACAACTTTAACCTTGTGTTCCTCTGCAAACAACTCATACTCATTTATATGTTTGGGCTGAATGCCCTCTGAATAAATCATCTGCAAGGCAAACAAACATCCTGAGACATGTTCACTCATTAAATAATACAGATAAAAAAATGTATTTCAAATGGTGTTAATAAAACAAACATGTCTTTTTGTCTCAATTAACCTCAAACAGAATTCTAAACAAAATAGTTTCTTTTAATTTTAATGTCTCATACTTGAAAAAAAAAAAAAATTAATTTGAATGAAGATTAGAGAGTATTCTAAAACCGAAGTAAAGCTGCCAATCATTGACATACTGACCTTGAGTTTAGCTCCAACATTGAACCTACAACTTCTGTTTCTGCCTGTCAGGGTCAAGGCTATGCTCTCCTGGGCCATAAAACGTATGGCGATGTAACGGTTCATACCGAAGGTGATTGGCTGGAAGGGTGGAGCGTGGACGTGGATATCTTGATCTTGCCACCTCCACAGCTTCTTGCGTGATCCGATCGGATCAAGTTCTACACCACCCAGTTGGTCATAATTTACTCTGCACAATGATAACAAAATAAAAGTTATGCAAATTCTTATATACAGATAGTAAAACTGCTCTATAACATTTTTCATATATAAATAAAAATTGATTTCTGAAAATGGATGTTAAGTAATATTTATTTGAATTTCTCCTACTCACATAAGTGTTAGTAAAAAAAAATCATTCTACACTAAAATTTGTATGGAGAATGACCACTATATGAAAACCTTAGCAAACATTCCCGGCCTTTTCATAAACAACATATGACACACAACTAATAATGCATTCAATTTCCAAAATTACATGTTGAAATTTCAAGAACACCATTTTTTTGGCAGACTGACCTAATTTTTCCATTGGCAAAATTGCAACATCCTAATCCACTTGGTTCAAATGTGGCCAGAATGTGCGCGTCTGGGTCATCATCCAGCACAACATACATGTTCTGTCCCAGGCTGACGCAGATAATCATGATGGCTAGTCGGCCAGATGGGTAACTGAAGTGGGGGTCAAGAGATAAATACCTGACGCTAAAATACCTGATCATTTAACTTAATGCTACTATGACACACATATGATTAGGCAGAATGGATTTAGCTAAGGAATCCAGCTATTTAAACTATGAGCAAAAGACCTCAACCACTGAAGTAGCAAGACATTGATAACAAGGGGAGAACCTGAAGAAAAAAAAATGGATGCAATTAAAGAACAAATGTGTCAACAAAAGGCCAGCAGCCAACTCTGTGCCACATTGAAGTTGAAGAGCCTATGCAAAAGCAGCAACAGTCTTTCTGGTTGAGTTACAGCTGCCGGAATAAATCCAGAATGTAAAAAAAAAAAAAAATTTTTAATTTAAAAAATGTTCCCCATGGGAGAACCACTAGATTATGGATGGAAGATTTTATACAAAAAAACATCTCCATAAATCCAACTCTGTGCCACATTGAAGTTGAAGAGCCTATGAAAAAGCAGCAACAGTCTTTCTGGTTGAGTTAAAGCTGCCGGAATAAATCCAGAATGTAAAAAAAAAAAAAAAAAAAATTTTTAATTTAAAAAATGTTCCCCATGGGAGAACCACTAGATTATGGATGGAAGATTTTATACAAAAAAACATCTCCATAAATTGTAGTGTTTATAAAGACAAAAGAACACTGTGTAGTCACATGATACCAGTGAGGGAATTCCCGATTATTATTATTTTAAAGCTGTAGTAACAAAAGAAATGATGGTTTAAAAAGGATACAAAACATTTCCTGAGCCATCTGGAAAAATGGTGAGGAACTTTGATCCATTGGGATAAAACTTTTGTACCAGTTGTCTTCCCTGCAGCTGGAAGGGAAAAAAAGAAAAAGAAAATGAGTTTACATAACATTGCTTAAAAAAATATATAGGTATGATCAACACTTAAATGTCATCTACGACAGGTATTATATTTCAAAATATCAGTTTCATGTTTCAAATGTAATAAATTGGTGTCAAATGCAACAATAAATTGGTGTCAAAGACAATAAATTGGTGTCAAATACAATAAATTGGTGTCAAATACAATAATAAATTGGTGTCAAAGATTATTAAATGATGTCAAATACAATAAAAATTGGTGTCAAATGCGACACAAACGTGCACAAGAAAAGATAAATTTCTGTTTAAAACTCCTCATTCATTTTAAAATACTTTAACGTTGATGTATTACCTTCCCAGTTGCAATCATGGCTGGATGAAGCGGCTCTGGCATAAAAATCTCATTATCAGCGTCATCTTGGTCCAGTGGGGTAGGGGGTCTCAGTGTCCAGCCCTCCTCAAGACACCGCTGTGATGACAGCTGATAGTTGATGGTCTTCATTTGTCTTGCAACTGTAAGGGAAAGATCCACCATATCAGCACTCTTTCACTATTACATTTATCTATCAATGGATTATCATAGTGGGAAATGCTCGCTTTAAGTTAATGAGATTAAAAGAGAATTTTCCATTCAATTTTTCTATCAAAAGACAGATAATTATATTTCATTTTGTTCTTAAGCATTGCAATTTCATTTTTTTTTTTTTTAAAACATACAGCTGTATCAACTCTTTGTCTATTTTCAATTATTTCTTTTTTTTCAAATTTGTCTTTTTATAAAAAGTTGTTTTTTTTAAAATAAAATTTAAAACAAAAATCATTTTAATTCATAGCCATAGTAAACTTATTATATTTTTAGGTTAATTTTAGTTAATAATTTTTAAAAATACTTATCTTAAAATAATTGTATTATATTAGATCAGCAGCTTAATGTATGATTCCTGTTGATTATTAGATTATAAGTTTGAACTAAGTTTTAATTTTAAGTAATCAATTATAATGTGTTAGAAGTTTTCATTCTCTATATTGTATATCAGTGTTAAAAATTAGCTGAGCCATAATTAGTTAGGACATGCTTTTTGTCATGAGTTATTCGTTTTTCTAATGAGTTTGTTGTAATATGTTAATAATATATTGATATGCACCACTTTAACAGGCATCAGCTCTTTGGTCTTCGAGGTAATAATTGTTTAAATAATTAATAAAGCAGACGAACCAGTGATTTTAAAATGCCATCATAAATATTAAAAAATTATGTCAAATTAAATGATTAATTAGAAACCCTTTTTTACAAAAAAAAAACAAAATAAAAATCAATACACACAAGTCAACCAATGCTACTGTAACATTTTTTTTATCCACAGAAATGTCTTAAATTACTTAGCCCTAAAATTTAATGATCTCTTAAAGGATTAAAAAGGAGATCTGTTAAAATTATAAAGAGCGGTATTTGTGGATTGGGGTATCTCTAGCAAGATTTTTTATGGTAGAAACAGATGAGAAAAGAAAGTCACTAGCATTACATTTAAAGAAAAAAATATATAAAGACATAACAAATATTTTTTTTTTTTAAATCATTAAATTTCATTTTCATTATTTCTTCAGTATGATCAAGTAGATCATAATATTTGAATTTGATCAGAGTGGTCAGCTCAAAGTTCAAAGTCATTTAAATATTTCTTCAGCTGTTTGATCAAAGATATCCCTTTTGTTGGGTAAAAATGCACATCTCATTATATCATTACAAAGACCACTTTTAACTATTTGTTCTTTCAAAAACAATGTAAAGCAAAAAAATACAGCACAGACCACGACAAAGCTAAATTACAAGAAAACACAACTCAGCAAATAGGTGGCATCTTCTAAACAAACAAAAAAACATCAAAAAAACATTTTAAAATCCAACTAGCAGCTGGCAATCAAAATTTGCTGTGCATCAGTCATGGTGCTAAATAAATATTGTGCAGCACACTTAAAAAACAATCAAATAAATTACAGAGATAATTTTAAAATTTGTTGGGGATTAATAAATCATATTAATAATGGTATGAATTATATTGCCTTTGTATTGTAATTGTTTCATTTTAATATGAAATTGGCCTCCTACAACTTTTGTTCTTACAAATTTAGGATGCCAAATCAACTGATTTTTTTGGGTTGGGGGGGGGGGGGGGGAGAAATAACAAAAAATAATATGATTAATGATAATACAAAGGCAAGAATTACAGCATTCAAAATCAGTTATCTTGGTAGAGAAGCAATGTATTAAGTTAAAAAAAAAAAATTAAAGCGATTTGAAATTGCACCAGTATGAATTTCAACCCACAATTGAAATGTAAGCAGCATACTTAAATTACACAAGCAATAAATATGGACTATAAGTTTGTCCATGAAAAGTTGAATACAATCTTGCCAACAAGCAAACATTTTGGCTGTGTAAACAAACTATAAATGTACAACAGTAGGCTTGGTGCAAACCTTCAATGTTCACCCCTCCATAGGATGAGAATGATGCAGCAGCCGCTCCTGGGTGCATCCCTGAGGGATGGTGATGCGAGGTGCGGCTTGAACCATCGACACCACCCCCTCTGGCAGTCTTTTCCCCTCCTAAAACACCCCCTTTCTCCCCTTTTCCAACCTCCCCCTTTGTGGCACTGGTTTCTCCATCTTTCTTTTTAGATTTTTTTGGCTGCAGGTTGTCGACTGTGTCTGCTCCTGTATCCGAATCATCGTTCTGCAGCATGCGTGAATCTGAATAAACATCAGCAGTTTTATTTTTACAACTTCCTACCATTGGTTACACATTACTGGCATACTGTTAAATCAAGTGATTGTTGGAATTGAGTCCAGGAATGACTTGCATCAAACCAAGGCATTGAATCAAACCCCCCCCCCCCCGCCCCCTTGAAAGTTAATGCAGAGACAATGCTATTCCAATGTGAAAGTTAATGCAGAGACAATGCTATTCCAATGTGAAAGTTAATGCAGAGACAATGCTATTCCAATGTGAAAGTTAATGCAGAGACAATGCTATTCCAATGTGAAAGTTAATGCAGAGACAATGCTATTCCAATGTGAAAGTTAATGCAGAGACAATGCTGTTCCAATGTGAAGAAGAGTGTTGGTATAAAATTATTCAAGATCAACCATGGGATTTGTCTTGATGATAAATTTATGAGAAAGAAAGAAGAGACTATTTGGAGAGAGATAGAGCCTATTTGTTGCTGTTTTCTTTAACAACATATTAATCATTTAACAATAAAACTGAATATTCTCCTTCACAAAAATTGTTTGCCAAGAAACATGAATAAAATTAGAATTTAAAATCTTCTAATAAATTCAGTGGCCCATTTGTGCTGATGGTGTAAATTATAGAAAATGCCCCATTGAAATATTTTTTTTTTCTAGTTAAAATTTTCTAATGTAGTTAAAATCTTAATCAATCTTGGAACTTAATGGAGAATCTGAATTTAATTTGTCATTAAATTGCAATTTTGAGAACACAGTGTGAAATTCATTCAGCTTTTATAGACACCTCACTTAAAAAAATATTTTTGTGCTGAAATAAAGACACTGTAAACATATTTAAACAATTTTTAAAAACCTGTGGAAGAGGGGGAAAAAAATCAATTTAAGCCATTTTAACAAAAACATTCAATACTTTATCAGAGAAACAATCGGAACATGCAACCAATCAGGCAGAAGATAACCCTGTCCAATTAAATCATTGTTAGACTTACGTTGGTAAATACTTGACTGCATTCCACTGGCTTCCTGTTGTCTTCTCTGCAACTCTCTTTCATGCATTCTGTTGTAGAAAAAGAAATGAGAAATTACCTATTTGTTTAAATATTTTACAAATATGCCATTTGAACAATGATAGCCCACCAAAATGTTATTTCACTGCATACTTTTTTGTCCCACTGTTTTCTTCTGGAGCAAAGTAAAGGGAATCCTTTTATATAAAAAAAGTTAATAACCTTTGAACTGCCTGTTCTTTAGCCATCTTTCTGGCTTGCTTGCTGCCATGATGGCCATGAACTTTGACACTGATCATCTCTGATTTCTTGGTCACATCCTCCTCCAACCTGTGGTGGCAAAAAAAGAAGACATGAGCAAAAGTCTATCCTACCTGAAGTGTCTCCCTAGATCTGACTTTTGTAATACCACACTAAAATTAAGAAAGTATAAAAAGTGTGCTAAATCATAGGTAAGAGAGACAGGTTGTCACCTTGGAGACCATTTTAGAGAACACCTGTATAACATCTACAAACAAGCCTTTTGTCCAGTTTCCAAACATTTCAATAGTGCTCACCATTTTGGAATTTTAGACATTGCAGTTACTGGTATATTGTATGCAAGTAATAAACCAGATAGAAATTATATGGAAAATAAATAAAAAACAAGATTTGGTGTGTTGACACCATAGGGTATAAACCAAATTCACAATTTTACATAGCTGCATTATCTTGTTTTCTGTTTTGTTTTTAAATTTTACTTCCATTCACTTCCTTTCCATTTTTATGAACTTTTTTTTTCTTTCACCCACTATTATTCTTCTCTTTTATTTTTAGGTAGGATTTATTGATTTTTCAATATGATATGTAAATTTAATTTAAACTTATATGCATTTTGTTTTGTATTGAACTGATGAAGGCATTTGCCCAAAACAATGAAGGCAATTGCCCAAAACAATGAAGGCATTTGCCCAAAACAATGAAGGCATTTGCCCAAAACAATGAAGGCATTTGCCCAAAACAATGAAGGCATTTGCCCAAAACAATGAAGGCATTTGCCCAAAACAATGAAGGCAATTGCCAAAACGTTTACATTTGTATTCTGTATAATCATTATTAAAGCTTAACCTATACTGTTTTATTTAAAATAATTTTCTTTGTCTCATTAAGGTTGAAAGGTTTATTGCAGTCCAACACTCTCACAACTAGCTAATTAAACGAATTAAGGTTGATTCAAAAAGTAGAGCATGAAATCCACATCAAGGGAGAGGAGTGAAAAAAAAGCTATAGTGGCACTTATTGCAGAATGTGAGTCAATTAATCCTGTCATCTCACAAACCTGTTGGCTGTGGTCATGGCAAACTCAACAAAATCTCTGTAGTCCTCACAACAGTAAAGAGTCTCTGGTGGCTCTGACAGCTGTTGGTCCAGTGTGGGGAATGGTTTGATTTCATTGCCTGGCATTGAATAAACACAGAGTAAAATAGGGGTTTAAGTGAATTTATTTTAGACACAACTCTTTAAGTGAAACAAAATATACCTGAAATGGTCACCGGAAATTTGTTCTAACAAACATCCCTTCCGACAATATTTCTGTTCTATCAAACTCCTATCACAAAAAGACTTCCGTCAACCAATTTTTCTTTAAATAAAAATTTATTTCCAACAATTTTCCAGATATACTGAGTTAGGCATTTAACTTCTTTAAGGCTAAGTCCTTAGAAAGTTTAATTAAATTGTTATGCCGTTCAATTTTATCTTAAAATAGTTTTTTTTATTCATGTTCGCCATAATCAATTATTTTTTTTTTTAAAATTTAAAGATATTCCTTTATTTAAAACAACCAAGAAAAAAAATCAAAATAATTCTGGGAAGGAAAAAAAAGGGTTTATATAGCCTACCACAAAATTCACATTTGCCGCTAAACATCCCAACAGCATTTCCATATTCATCCAGAACATAATCTGACGGATTCACAAGCTGAGCTTCAGTTTCTTTAGTTGTCTCCCTTTGGACTGGCAAATCTGACTCGGGAATGTACTGAAAATATTTTTTATTTTTAGTGGGTACAATATGAACACAAATGTATGTTGCTATGAGGGAAATTAAAAATGATTTTAAAAAAAAAACATTTAAGAGATATTTAAAGACATTTTTCTTTAAATAGATTTTATGACATCAGAGCGCTTTGAGCATGCCAGAATAGCATGGGTGGAGACAAGCGCTATACAAATAATCACTCATCAACGACGTCATATTATGAAAACTTATTGGGTCTCAAGCTTTCTAGAATATATAAATGACAAAAATAAATAACTAAGAGTCACTGAGATCATTGTATAAACAAGAGCCAAGAGTCAAAAAGTGGTTCACAGGATACAATAAAATAATTCAGAAATTGCAAATATTTTCTGGTTAAACTTTATATACCATTTTTCTGTTAAGGTTTAAAAAAAAATTAAATACAATAATTAAATTTACTCAAGGGAATGCCATGCATTTCTTGTCACAAATTGTGCTGCGCTGTGCGGGATAAATTTTTTGATGGACAAAAACAAATATGTGTTAGCTAGTGTATCCATCACTGTTATCTGAAATTGATAACATTGAGCACTTGACCTCTGGGTAGCATCCGAAAGACCAGGTGATAAAACACAACCAACTTTGTAAAGTTATATATACATCAACAACACAATCCACTTTATGGAGAGTGAAAACATGAGATTATATAAAAAATGGAAATGCTACTTAACAGAGGTGTCTCCACAAACCTCTAGGAAAAAAAACGGGGGTGGCTCCCCCCCGGGGGCGGTTGGGGGGGGTACTTTTTTTTTTCCTTTGTATATTTTAAAATGCACAGAATTTTTATTTTTTTATTTTTACATTTCAGCCTGCTAAAGATTAAAATTATTATTTTTTTTATATTGTTCCAAGTGAAGTGTTGGTTGGTGGGTGCTTGCATTACCATTGTTTCGGGAAGGGGGGGGGGAGTGAAGTCATCTATCAAGGATATTGTTTTAATTAAACCATATTTGGTTGTAGGACATGCTGTAATTCAGCTTTTATTATTTTTTTTATATTGTTCCAAGTGAAGTGTTGGTTGGTGGGTGCTTGCATTACCATTGTTTCGGGAAGGGGGGGGGGGAGTGAAGTCATCTATCAAGGATATTGTTTTAATTAAACCATATTTGGTTGTAGGACATGCTGTAATTCAGCTGATTTGAGCTGTTTTCTATTTAAAGTTTAGTCTGATGAGTTATTAAAAACACTATAAATGCCACAGTTTGTAATGTTCCTGTTCATGAGAGATACACAACTTTATGCAAATTAAGTTCTCAAATTAGAAACACCTTTGTGACCTTGTGCTTCGTCATGAGCAGTAACTTGTTTCAACTGTTATTTTTTTTTTTTTTTGCAATGCAAGTTTGTTTTGTTTTTTTTATTTTTATACTTTTAAAACAGTGCCTACACTAGATACACCTCAGTAAATTGTCTTACTTTTTATATCAGATACACCCCTGTATGCAACCTTACTTTCCTCTAGAGTAGATACTTGTCCTGATTTGTTTTTGTATGTGTGATCACACCAGTTTATGGATATTATTTCTGGCTCTAGTTGTTAAAATTCAAATTTTACCATGTATAATATAAATTCTTTGATTTTGAACAATAAAATTTGTATGAAATTTGTATTGACCTGATTCAATATTTAATTCTCTGGATTGATCTTAGGCTTTGGGTAAAACTTGAGCTTGCAGAGATTTAAGGAAACTGTAGATTGGTTTTACATTAATGTGACAGAAATTAAACTATGAGTGGTGCATTCACTGTGACAAGCATGCTACTAATCAGAATTTGAAAAAAAAAAGTGTTGGAAAATTATTTCTAGGGTATGATGGAAAAGGAAGTGCCAGATGGGCAGGAGAATCCCAGTGTAAGACTTGCTCAAAATGTCCCCAGTGCTGAAGGGAAACAGAAGGAGGCCAGTGCTGTGTTAAATAAAACGGTTGTTGACCAGATTCATGGCTACATGGAACTGTACAGTGGCTTGGAAGTACAAACAAGAACCGATGAGGTTTTTACAAAACAGCAAAACAGTTCTGAGGTAGATTCAGGTATAAAATTATCCAATGAACCAGAGACTGAAACAGGTGTAAAATTACCTGATGGAGCAATCCCTGAGGCAGGTAAAGACCCAATTTACTGAAAAGTTTGTAGTTGATAATTTACATTACATAAAAACTACTGACAGAGTTTATGTAGAAAGACAATGGAACTTTCACAATGATACTAGATCACATTTGTTTCAAGTGATGAACTTCTGTTTAAGGCATTGCTGGTTATAAGCATAAATGCTAAGAATCTATACATTAAAATAATCATTCTCCTCATCCAAGGGCAATTATGGTATGTGGTGACCTTTGGCCTTGAAAAATTAGAAGGTGTTTTGAAAATGCAATGTATGTGATGAACATTCTTTTCCAGTGGCTACGTCTCCTGGCGGCTCAACAGGAGGATTTTTTGATGTACAGGTAAGCTGATTATGTCGTGCAGTGCTGACAGTTTAATCACAGATAAACAACAACTAGTCAATGAGGCAACTGACTTGTCACATGGACTCATTACACCATTTTTTTCCCCCAGATTGATTTTAATTTTTTTTGTTGGATGTTTTTCAATAAAGGAATATTTTTTAGTTTTTAAAAAAAAAAATGGATGATGGTGAATATGAATAAAAAAACTATTTTAAGATAAAACTGAGCGGCGTAACAATTTAATTAAACTTTTGTAAGGACTTAGCCTTAAAGAAGAGATTGATAACCAGTGTCGAAAACAAGAGAATGGCCCGCTTAGTTGGTTTATGTTACAAATGACTGGGGCGGGGGTCAACAACAGAAAGCCATTGTTCATCAGATAATTTATAGGGTGGGCAGAAATTGCTGTGATTTTTGAGGAGGGAATTGTGAGGTGGATGGGGTAATTTTAATAGATTGTCGCATCTTTGAGTTAAGGGGATGTTTCTTTCCATAATATTATGTCTCTGACCTTCCAGACTTCACATGATAATTATGGTGTTAGTGACGGAAGCTCCTAATTGACCAGAAATGAGGGGTAGGGATGGGTTAATAGCTAGCATTCCTGGACCACCTAGGGAGGTAGAGCAATGTATATAAGATAGAACTCTTTGTGACATAAGGGAGGGTGAGAGATTTGTGGACGGTCATTATGAGGTGGTAGATGCAGTGGTACTAGACGTAGTCAAGGATAGAACCGGTGATAGACTATTAGTCAAGTGTTAGAGTTAGGAAAGAAACTTTAATGAATTTGTTAAATTATGCTCATTAATATATCTTCGATCTATAACTGTTGCTGAGGAATTGCTTGACCATTTGTTAGCTTTTCTGTGTTTTCTTTGTTGTACTTCTCAACACCTGGACTAGTGAACCTTCACAAAGAGGAGCGGCCCCATACCAGTCACAACAACACCAATACCACTTGGTGCGTGACCATAAGTACGGGCCCATTCCTCACAAACTCACAGTATCATCCATGCTGCAACAGTTTACATGTAAGCATTGCTGTCATGGTATGGAGCTATCTAGGCTATACATGTAAGCATTGCTGTCATGGTATTTAGCCATCCAGCCCTTAGATGTAAGCATTGTTGTCATGATATCGAGCCATCCAGACTTTAGATGAAAGTATTGCTGGCATGATATGGAGCGATCCAGGCCTTAGATGCAAGCATTGCTGGCATGGTATGGAGCCATCTAGGCCTTATATGCAAGCATTGCTGGCATGTATGGAGCCATTCAGGCCTTAGATGCAAGCATTGCTGGGATGGTATGGCGCCATCTAGGCCTTAGATGCAAGCATTGCTGGCATGGTATGGAGCCATCCAGTTGAAAGTATTGCTGGCATGATATGGAGCGATCCAGGCCTTAGATGAAAGCATTGCTGGCATGGTATGGAGCCATCTAGGCCTTATATGCAAGCATTGCTGGCATGTATGGAGCCATCCAGGCCTTAGATGCAAGCATTGCTGGCATGGTATGGAGCCATCTAGGCCTTAGATGCAAGCATTGCTGGCATGGTATGGAGCCATCCAGGCCTTAGATGCAAGCATTGCTGGCATGGTATGGAGCCATTCAGGCCTTATATGCAAGCATTGCTGGCATGGTATGGAGCCATCCAGGCCTTAGATGCAAGTATTGCTGGCATGGTATGGAGCCATCCAGGCCTTAGATGCAAGCATTGCTGGCATGGTATAGAGCCATCCAGGCAACACACAACAAGATTTATTTACTTGATAAGGTTGTTTTTTTTTAAAAACTTTTCTCATAGGATGTGTTTCCATAAAGCATAATTGTTCTTAAAATCTGTGTCTACCAGATCAACTAAACACTTTTTAAATTCTGTCATTAGATGTAAAAAAATATGTATGCATATGTGTGTGTGTGGTTTTATGAGTAAACAAAATTTTAAGGACCTGATGTTACTTCTTATGATCAGTGCCATAGAAATACAAGTATGACAGTATACTATTGTGATTCTGGAACACAGACCTAACATACAGACAGACACAGACAGTGGTAACTTCTAAAACAGACAAAGAAGTTGTACCAAGCCAACACATAGTCTTACTTTTAGAATCAGAGGTGGACCGACAATGGGGAAATTATGTTTCCTTGTCTTGATTTTCTTTGGGGACTCTCCATCTGTTGTCTGAAATGGTGGGACACAAATCAAAAAAAATATCAATGCACACAGCAAGTTGGTTAACCTTTGACCTACATGCCCAGTGTTAAGTTGTAATTTCCCTGAATCTTTATAGTTATCTCCTTTCTTTAATATTGGGTTGTCTCATAAAGCTATGATTTTTACCCTACAGCTGCTGTCTGTGCCCCACCATATTGGAGATTTACAAATGAACGAATGAATTCATTGTTGAAGACATTATAAAATAACTAAAAATAAAGTTTCACCTACAAATACTTATTAAAGAAATTCATCTCGGCGAATAAGTCTTAAAGTTTAAAGCTTACGTCAGAGTCAGAGCTGAGTTCTTCTATGGGCAGGCCAAACTCATCGTTGGGCTGCAGAGAAAAGGGAGATAAGTCCGTCACTGTTCTGTCATCCACGACACTGCCATCTTCCGTACGAGTCTTACCGGAGGTCTGTCGAGAGTCTGGTTTGGCTGGTGGTAAACAGATTAGGATAAGTAACTGGTGTGATTCAGATGGTTTTTTATGTCTTACGCTGGCTTACAATAAGACTTAGAGGCTTAGAATAAGATCATGGACTTGATGTTCTCATGGAATAAGATCATGGACTTGATGTTCTCATAGAATAAGATTATGGACTTGGTGTTCTCATGGAATAAGATCATGGACTTGGTGTTCTCATGGAATAAAATCATGGACTTAATTTTCTCAAGTTGTGTTTACATTTGAAATCATGAGAACCTATAACAGGCCACTAAACCCTAATGTCTCTACCCTTTGGGCACCTAAAACCCTAGGGTCCTAAAACATTAGGCATTTTAAACACTAAGGTCTCATAAGGAATGAAATTTGAAGCCTAAAGATGGTCATCTAAATCACAAGGTCCCTATCCATTGTACAGTATCATGTAATTATTGTTCTTAATTCTTTTTTTTTTTTCAATTAGGAGAGTGAACTAATAGTAGTGTGAATCTTTATTGATAACAAAATAAAAGCAATGAAAATATCTGATAAAATAATTCTTAAGCTAGCACTGGCATCATAAATATCAACTCAGCACGTATTAGTTAAGTGCTCTGTTAAAGTTATGTGACTATCATAACACACATTGAATTTATTCGATGTATTTGTTAGTTTCTGATGTAACTGAAAAGGCCTGTTAGCACTGGGCCACCAGGGAGACTTGGGCCACCAGGGAGACTTGGGCCACCAGGGAGACTTGGGCCACCGGGGAGACTTGGGCCACCGGGGAGACTTGGGCCACCGGGGAGACTTGGGCCACCAGGGAGACTTGGGCTATGGAAATTGAATCAACTCTATTAAATGGATTTCAGTCGAGTTCTTCAAAATAGAAACTATGGGTGCACAAACGCGCACAAAACTACTCAAAGGAGAAAATTATAAGCTTATATTCTACATTTAATTTTAATGTATTTTAAGATCAATACATTTCTGAAACATAGCTTTCACAGAATCAATCCTGCTAAACCATTAACATAAGAAATTCAGACGGGCCGGAGTAAAAAGTCTGTGAAACATGACACAATTTTTAAATTCCAACAACAATAAATGTGCACACAAGTCCGACCAATTAAAAGAAAACTAAAACAAAAAAAAATATATCGGGAGTTGAATGTACTGAGAAAATTTAGAGAAAGCCCCCCCCCCCCAAACCAACCCCACTCTCCTAAAAAAAATTTGTTACCTGAGATGAGTTAATGTCATGCTAATGTAATTACTCAAAATTGTACCAAGTGTACTAATGCAGGCCTGCACAAAACATGGTTGTGATATCATACTTAAAAGTGAAAAGCTATTGCTTTAAAAAAATGAAAATATATCAATGACAACAAGGTGAATCATTCCTTTGAAAGGATATAACAAAGTAAAACATTGAAAGGTCAAGGTGAAAGGTTGGAAAATGTAATTCTGGCAATTTCTGTGAGCAAATTGTTAACAAACAAAAAAACATACCATATCACTGGCAGCCCTTTTAAAAGCTCTAGTTGTTTTAAAAAAAAATAAAGAGAGAAAATAATTTTCATGTTTTACATTCTTAAATATTATTTTATAACACATATCATCTTAACGCAAATGTTCCCTCTAATGCTCTTAGTTCACATATTACTATGTGTTACATGGATGTACTTTGTAGCATTTTATGGGTAAATCTCATGAGAAAATTACTGAAGTTTAGCTTTCAGATTATTCTTTTTTTTTATGTGTGCTTGCATGTTACAACCTGTGGGGACTCACACTTAAACAGTTAAGAGAGTATATTGCTCGTTCGTAAGTCCCACCATAATACCCCCAGTGAAAGCATATTACTTGGAGCAATGATGATGCCCTTAAAGAAAGCCTCTTACTTGGTGGATCCAAATCAAATGATAAGTTTACATGATCAGTTTTTACACTACAATGTATTTAAGCTAAAAAAATGTAGAGAAACCTAGCAATAACTTCTAACACACGATTAAGGCAGAGTGTGTAAACAAAGCAGCAAAATGGATATAAGTATTAGTATTAGTAAACATCACAACTTTCAATAACAATGTTAGAAAAAAAATATTATAATTTCTTAATATTAACATGGTATTTATTTGCAGGCATTGGACTGCATACTTTTTAAAGATATGTTTTGTATCCAAACCAAATTAGCACAATTTAATGGGACCTAATAAATATCAAATTTTATTGTTACAAGTATTAGTAACTGTTCTCATACACTTCTTTTTCTGAAACGATTTTTGTAGCACTCAAAAGGGTTTAACTTTTATTTATTTAATAAATTTTAATGAAATGGACAAAGTTTTTTTTCTTTGGCTTGTTAAATAGTCAGTAATGAAACTATGCTATATTTGAGAAGCTCTTGCAGAAAAATCAAGTTTGTTTATTATTACCAAGCTGAGACCTATGACCTGAAATATTGCAACTTGATGAAGATCTTAATTCTGAAATTATTATTGAAAAATATTTTCATGAGGGGTATAAATCTTTGTTAAAGTTTCTTGATGAGTTTTCTATTTTCATTCCATGCAAAAAGCTACTGCTTTATTTTTACGTGTTGTTATCTAAAAAGAATTTTTATAATTAAGCTAATGTAATAATATTCCTAAAAGTTTTCTTTAAAAAGAAATCATACAGAGCTGAATCTCTTAAATGGTTGTCTGTAATTTCTTTATATATACATTTTTAAGTTTGTGAGTTGTATATGGCTCATTATAAAGTTGTAAAACAATTGCAATTCTTACCTTGGCTTGGTGATAATATTCTGCCCCTTCCAGTTGTCTCAACATTATCTTTCCATTTCCAGTCAGTTTGGGTAAAGTATGTTACAAACGTGACTTTGCGACCATCAAAAGTTGTTCTTGACTCTTTCAACTTCTTCAGTTTTTTATGCCTGCAAGAAATTTTAAAAAATACTTTTGGGATACATCTTAAAAGCATTTTGTTATTTACCGTATTTATTGGCATATAACACGCACTTTTTCTCCCTGAGATATAATGTTAAGGACCCATAGTACATACCGCATAGCGGCTCGAATGGTGTATGTTATACCCCTGTGCGTGTTATACGCCAATAAATACGGTATTTAACTGCTGATAATTTAATATAAGACAGCTAAATGAAATAAATTTCTGTATGAACATAGATTAAAAGTTTTGAGACTACTTATAAGATAAGAAAAGATAAGTTAAGATAAGATTATTTTATTGATCCAAATAAATGGAGATGCTTTTTTATTACATTGTACATAGTCAATTTCAGCACATAAATAAATACATATTTTAAAACCAAGACAAACATTTTTAGAACGATGGAAACACAATAAATCTAAACTACTTCCTTAGCGTAAAAATTATCCATCATTTACCAAAAAAATTTACTCCCTTAGCGACAATAATGACTTAGTCATGGTATAAATCAGTGGTGGGAAAAATATGGCTACGGAGCCAATAGTGGGCTTTTACCTCCGTTTTGAATGGCACGTGCTCCCTTTTTAAAAAATGTAAATAATCATATAAATGGAAACAAAAATTAACATTTAATTTATAATTTTGATTGCAGAAGTTACTACTTTATGGGGCTGTTTTGCTTTTCTGGTGAAATCTCACTTTTCTGAGGATAGACATTTTCTTCTTGTTGTAGAATTACATTTTTCAGAATGGGTAAAATGCCCCAACCACCGTCTTTCACCCTTTATGGCTCTCATGCCTCTGTTACCTTTTGAATTTGGCTCACAGTTACAAAAGTTTGTCCACCCCTGATTTAGAATCTTTTTAGATCTATAAAGTGAATACAAAAATATTTTAAACTAAACCTTGGGTGCTAAGATCTACACTTTTTTTTTTTTTGTGTGCTTTCAGTATTTTTCTTAACCGGCATAAGTAAGCTGTAAGATTATATGATTATTTTTTATATGCTTTTCATAGGATAAATGTAGGTCAATTTAGACAAATCTGGAGCTTCATTCAGATGTAGCATACACTGAAATTTTACCAAATTGTAGGCCTTAGGATTATTACAGTTTTCAAGTAGAGTATTTGAGTTAATTTCTTTGAAATAAATATTTTTCTTTCATTCTGCAGCTTTTTAAATCTGCTAATAAAAATGTCATCCTTGCTTGCCATGGAAGTGCATCCCTAGGTGTAAATATGTATTTATGGCAATCTAACATTTATCTGAAATGCTCTCCTCCCTTTTCTTTAAGTAAGATATAAAATGCCTCATGCGGAGATACTGATCTTCCAATGAGCGCCTCCCTTTGGATTTCGACCTATGCCTGGACAAGGACATCATTAAAAGGATGGGGACCTGGAATGTTCTTAAACAGAGCAGGGGCGCTGGCCTCCCTCAGTGATGAATTGATAAGATATAGAATCACTGTTGCTGCACAGCAGGAGATAGATGGAAAGACTCAAATATACAAAGTAATAAGGAATATACAACTTTTTACAGTGAGTGGAAAAAACACCATCAGCTTAGGAACAGGATTTGCAGTCAAAAGAGGGACAGTAAATGTAGTCATTTAGTTTAAAATAGTGATTAAAAGACTAAGAACCATAAGGATAAGAGTTAATATGCTTAACATAGCATTAATTTGCACACATGCTCCAATGGAAGCTGCAGATGACAGCATTATAGATACTTTTTTATGAAACACTTGATAGAATATTTGATGAGGTACCCTGCCATGATAAAATAGTCCTTGGAGACCAGTTGGCGAAAGAAACAGATGTGAGGGGAATGTATATACTTTTAAAACAGGAAAAGAATGAATTTCAAACAAGATCAGATATGTGTAAAAGTATGGATGGAGAACGGATCACAAAGTCCATTAGGGTACTAGAGAGACAGGCACAACATTTTGAAGGGATGCTAAATGGCTCACATGGAGAAGCCAATGAGAATTATGATCTACCACAAAAAGACCGGGCCCATTGATCAACCAACCAACACTGAATGAAACTAAAGATGTGATCTTTACCATGAAAAATAACAAAGCTCTAGGAATAGACTTTAATCACTGCAGAAATGATAACACTAAGCAGCACCAAACTGCATCAGCAAATACATGACCTCATATCCAGAATCTGGCAGGAGGAAGAAATACCAAAAGAATGGGTGTACTCAAAATCCAAATTCACAAGAAAGGATCTACGTTGGACTGCACGAATTATAAAGGAATCTCCCTACTTATGTAACTTACAAAATCCTCATTAAACTAATTGCAGGAAAACTGGAAAGGTATTGTGAACAGATCCTAGAGGACTATCAATTGATCTATCAATCAAAATATATGATGCTCTACAGCAACTTGGAGTCCCAAACAAAATGACCCAGCTTATACATAAGACTTTGGCTAACTCCAAAATTAGAATCAAAAGTAGAAAGTACTCGAGGGAGTTCCAAATTAATCAGGGCCCCAGACTAGGAGACACACTATCAGGTATCCTGTTGAACATCACATTAGAAAAAGTTATGAGAAACATACATGTGAGCACCAGTGGAACTATCACAAACTACTTCCAGAGAAGCATTACAGAACCACAACTTTATATAGCCAACCATTGCAGTACCTGGTATATGTGGAGGACATAGTGCCACTGGGCAGAAACAGTAATGACATAATTAAAGCATTAACGCAGCGGTTCTCGACCTGTGGGTCGCAACCCATTTGGGGGTCGCACGACCTTTCCCAGGGGTCGCCTCAGACCATCTGAAAACACATATGCTCTACATTTATGAAGTAACAACGAACATAATTTTGTGGCTGGGGGTCACCACAACATGAGAAACTCTATTAAAGGGTTGCGGCATTAGATAGGTTGAGAACCACTGAATTAACGGAACTTGAAGTTGCCTCAATTAAAGCTGGTCTTGAAGTAAATGAAATGAAGACAAAATAAATGATAATGCAGCAACACATACAAACTGGTGACATCAAAATAAGCAAACACACCTTTGAAGGAACGGCTAATTTCAAATATCTTGTAGCTACTATAAATGAGCACAATGAAATTATCATGGAGGTGAAAGAAAGGATAACAGTAGACAACCATTCTTATTTCAGCCCACAAAAGCTACTAGGAAGCAAAAACCTTTTAAGGAGAACACTTATAAGACCAGTTATAATTTTGCAAGTAAAACTTGGTCCCTTACCAGAAAAGCATAGAACCTCATCAACCCATGGGAGAGGAAAATCCTCAAAAAAATATATGGTCAGGTGATAGATGAGGATGGATGCAGATATGTATTAATTTTATAAAGACCCACCAATATTTGCAACAATTAAAAAAGGCAGACTGCACTGTAGAGAAGGCCCGGTTGTAGAGCGGCTAAAGTTATCTACAGGTAGAAACCTGGGGAAGACGGCTTACCGGTCGACTAAGCCTGAGATGGATTGACGATGTAAAGAAGGGGTTACATCAGCTGGTAGGTCCATGCATTAAGATATAAAGCCATGGATCAATCCCAGTGAAAGGATGTGGTGGAACAGGCCAGGGCCCTAAATGGGCTGTAGCACCTATGATGAAAATATAAAATGCAATATTGGATCCACCAACCTTTTCTTAATGGATTTACTTTTTCCTCTATTATCATCATCTGTTGAGTTAAGCTCCTTGGTTTCCTTCTGCGCAGATTCTTTATTTTTAAAAATGAAGTATATAAATATAAAAAATAAGATTTGGTTATTTAATACAACAGTCCTGTTTATGCATATTTACCACGCAAAAAAAAAGGAAAAAGATAGAAAATTCATCTGTAGATACTTTACTATAATAGAAAAAGAATATATTATTACTACCAATAATTAGAATAGAGGAATTCATCACATTCATCTGCATGTTAATTAATTATAATCAGATCAATTTGAATTGTGCTTGTTTTCATTCATAATGACTCATAGTAATTGATTGACTTATATTTATATTTATTTGGATTGACACAAAATATATTTATATGCCCTTCAACAATAGTAATAATTAACATAGTTCTATACAGACTATAACAATACATCTAAAATATTATTTTTTACTACTACTATTATTTACTACTACTATTATTTTTGTTTACCCTTTTCTTGAATACCTCGAGGATTTAGCACTGAGAGTTTATCATTGTTCATAAAATCTGTTAATGGTACTTCAGTATTTAAATTATCTTCATCATGGTTGGCATCAGTGCTGTCATCTGACTCAGAACTTTCCATTGCTAAACTTAAACTATTATCAACCTTATTTTGAATAATTTAATTTTAATTATCATATTCAAATGCTGCAAAGCTTGACTTTGACAGAAGCTTTGCTTTGGCTTTATAAACTTGATAGTCACTGTGCTTGTCTTGAGATCCTACTACTCTGCTGTACTGTAGAATGATTGTAGTGGCAATTGTTCAACTCAGTTTAGTTTAATGTTATATTCTTTCCATGTCCATAAATAGTTAGGTCCATAAATTTCTGTTATAATAAATTTTTTAAAGGAGTAAAATATAATTTATTTCATTATAATTATAATTATAATATAAACAATACTTATTTGTATTGGGAAAGGAATTGTATGGAGTTTAGATGGGAAATCAAAATGGACAAAAGTTGAAGGACTTAACATTATTACTATTGCTTACTAAATTACTAGTAACAAATTGAAATGAGAAAAACTCATTTACTCAATTTGAATAAAAATGTTGTTTTTGAAATATTTTAAAATTTAATACATGCCATGCCATTTGCCTGCGCAAAACTATAATTTACCTTACCAAATACTATTGTAAATGAATTTATAGGAAGTTCAAAATAGTATATAGAACACTATAAAATGGAGGAAAAAACATCGCTAATTTTTAATTTACTAGTATACTAGTAATGCCAATATTAAGGCTTTATTGACTTTATTGGCACAAAAAGATATCCATTGCCATTGTTTGGCTGGTACATAGCGACGGTGATGTAACATGAAAAAAAAAGGTATGTTTCCTCAAATAAATTTAAAAGAAAATAATGCACCGTTGTATTTATATATCATATAAATTTCTAATTACAACTTAAGTTGCTAACAATAAAATATTCGGTATACCAAATTATTCTTTCAATTTTTAAAGTATATTTATTTTTTTGTGTTATGTGTATTTACGACATTCATGAAAACACTTTTGCTTTTACTAAAGTGAAAACCAAAGTCACGTGACAAGTATTTTTAGCAGCTGTATGGCAAATGAGGACTGAATTAAATCTCTGAAAAATATGGTTTTAAAAAGTACCGGTAATCAGTGTTATCAGCGTTAATGCTGAAGTCCTAATATCTCTTTTACCCATTTGTACTTTTGATTTAAGAGTTACGAATATCTACGACTACGGTAGTTTAAGGCGTCACCACAGGTTGTCTTTACTTGACTTATAAGACTAGAGTTAAATTAAATATGGCATGGTGACAATCGAATGACCGATGGCGCCGCCGCCGACATTATATTTCTCATTTATATATTAATATTAATATATTATTCAAATTCTTTAATAATTTCTAGGCCTTGGCATCCTTAGTGGTGGGTTAGGCTTTCTACTACTACTACTACTAACTACCATTACATTTTTGGAAAGTCAGAACATCCATAATTAATGAATAACCTATTGTAAACTTTATAATTAATATAATAATTTAAAGGGGCCGGTTTAAAGAATAGTATTCAATATTACCTGCCTTGTTTTAGCAACTTTTGGGTCTTTTCTAAATATGTTATTAGTATAAGCGTTTTAGTAGAATCAGAAAGTAGCAAAGTCTTAGTCTTACTAGTCTTTCATGTGTGAAAAAAAACTATGGTGCCAAACTTAGTTGGATTTTTCTTTTTTCCCCTTTCTCAAATCATAGTCATAGTGATTAATATTAATAATAATCTCATTCTTACTCACTAATGTATGGAAATGTCATGTCTGCCTGTTTTTCTTTCGTATAGTATTGACAGTATTGATATGAATATGTAAATAGGGCTGAGGAAAAGGCTAAATCATATTCAAATAATTATAAAAATTTCATCACTATTAGTATTAGTATTCCTCAGTAATTCTCAGATAACTATACATTCCTAAGGATCATTTCACTGATAATTGAGTTGAGAAGTTTAAAAAGATCATATATTGTAAAACATTTTTGTAAAAAAATATGTTAAGAATTTTAAAAAGGATTCAATGGCATATTCTGAAAATTCAAAATTCCATGCTTTTCTAAAGGTTGACTCTTTTAGCGTTAGTTTCCGAAAGATCTTCTTCTTCTATTTATTAAGGGCCCACGATCAATTTATTGATCTACACTATATGTTATTTGATTGGCCACCATATATGGTGATACAATTAAATAATGGTGAATTTGTTCACTGTATAAAAAAAACTTTGCATATAATACAGTAGGCAATAAATAACTGTTTCATTGAAATGACAAATAATATACAAAGTTAACTTCCTTTCAATTGAAAACAATTGTAGGAATTTCTGATGTCCATTGAGTCACTTGATGATGCTGACAGAAACATGGAAACTGGTTGCGGTGATGCCAAACAAGAAACTGACATAAGACGAGAAAGCATCACAAGACGAGAAAGCATCACAAGACGAGAAAGCATCACTAGACGAGGAACTATCACAAAACAAGAATGTGAAGAAAGTGACACAAGACAAAATAGTTATACATCTAAAGCTAAAAATGAGCCCTCTTCTGTCCCCATTTCTGCCACAGAGAATAAAGCAGTTGGGGACAGCTGGAGGACAGATGAGCAGTACATTCTAGCCATAGATGTTGGCACCACTAACATACGAGGTCATGTTTACACAAAGTATGGCAGACTCAAAGGTTCCGCTTCAAAGCAGGTAAAAAAAAATTTTGGCTAAGCCAGTGGTTCTCATCATTTATGTGGTTATGTGACGTTTTATAAAAAAATTGTTGCATGCTCTTGACCTTACTAAAAGAGCGGCTCACCAATATTAGTATCAAGTTTTATATACAAACCATCTTAATGTTTCTCACTATTCTTGGTGCACCAAATAAATTGTGATCCCATTAATATTGGCATCCGTTTAAACATTTTTAAAATTAATTAATCCCTTGTAAATGAGCTATGTAGCGTGCAGACTCATTTTAGTTGATTTGTAATTGTGTTGAAAGATAATATACATTTTATACACCCGTATTGCTTGTACAATGAAAATAATATTTATTCAAGTGTGGAAAAAAAAATTATTCACCTTTTGTACTATGTGGAACTATTTTTATTTCTAGCAAAAACTGCTTCAGCCGCAGCCTGGCTGGTTTGAGCTGGACCCTCACATGCTAGTGGACAACGTAAAAAGTGTTGCCCATGACTGCATCTCAGGTAAATGATCACCAGGTATTGTAGAACATCAGATTAATTAATTCAGAATGTTAACAAAGTCAGGGGTAGTGAATACAATCTTAAGTTAACAATTATCATGATAAAATTTTTATGATTTTTGTATTTCATCCATCAGTTATTGTTTTAAGAAATAAATTTGTTTCTTCAGCTGTTGGTATTGGTATTTGTTTTATTACATGAAATATCTGTTCCTCCAGCTTCTGGTCTTCAGCACCATCAAATAACTTGTATGGGTTTCACTACTATGAGGGCAACATTTATTACCTGGGACAGGTCAGTTTTATTGTGTTACAATGACTTATAGACATCTATTTGTGGTATGCAAAAATCCCTATAATCTGACACCTTTAATATATAGGGATGGCCCCAAATTTACTGATTAGCTATTGTTCATGGCTGAATTTAATCTCATAAGAGTTGTTGCTCAAATATTTTTTTGAATAATGAAGTCCTTCATGTTATGCTGCGGATACAAAATTTCTGATGTTTAGAACTGTATTGAAGATTATTTTCTAAATATTCTTCTGTAATTTCAACATTATTTTTATTAATTTTTTTTCCCTTGGATGTTGTGGTTGATGAACTATTGAATAAAATAGAAATATAAGATATTTCGAATATATTTGAATTTAACTTATTTATATCAACTTTGTTACATTTCGACCGATTCAGTGAAACGGGGCAACCATTCCACAACCTCATAACATGGCAAGACCTGCGAGCAGCTGACTATGTTACAATATGGAACAAATCGTTCACATTACGCACCCTGAATGCAGGGGCCAAGTTTCTCCATGTCTTGATGAGGAAAACGAGGCATTTGGCTGCAAGTGTGCTCAAGTTCACATCCAAACATGTCACAATGAGGCTTTTGTGGGTGCTTGATAACATTCCAGAGGTATGTAGGATCAGCCCCAGGGATGATTGACCAAATATAGCACCAGTTGTATCTCTGTTTGATTTTCCACCACTATCAAGTTTGTCGGTGCTGGCTTTCTCTCCAATGGATTTTTTAAATGTTAAATTTCTGACCGATAGAATTGAGAAGATGGTTGGGGCAGTTGCTACTTGTTTTTGTCTTTTTTAACTATGCACAAAAATTACATCAGCTGGAATCAGATAACTAGGATTATCACTGTCTGCATATTTCCTGAATAATTAACCATGGGGATGTGATTGCTTTATTTGATAAAGATTGAGAAGAGTTGTTCTACCCATGAAGGGACTTAGCAACATTTCAATCTTTTCAACTGTCCATTCTGTCCTTCTAAATTTACTTATCATTTAAGATGGCAGAGCTTCTATTGGAAAATTTCAGATCCGCAAGAGAGCCTCGGAGGGCAAAGTAATGTTTGGCTGTATTGAAACCTGGTTGCTATGGAAACTGACAGGTGGCAAACAACATGTGACTGACTACTCATGTGCCAGCTCAACTGGTTTATACGACCCGTTTCAGGTAACAAATAAATAGCTGGCTTTTATGACCCATTTCTGGTAAAAGAACAAAAACCATGTACTTTCACTCTTTATAATCTCCTAATGCAAATAATCTATTTAATTTTTGGTTGTTTGTTTAATCATTTTACTTATTTTTCATAAAATTTGTAACTAAAATTTGTATTTTTTCATTTTACTTATTTTTATATTATCAACTAAAATTGGTATTTTTTCATTATTTTTTTCATATTAACTTGAAAAAATTATGTTTGTCGTTTTACATATTTTTTATATTATCACCTAAAATGTGTTCTTTCATTTTGGTTTTTGCTGATGTATGGGTTTAATTCATGATGATTCATGTACCTCACATAAACATTGTCCGAACCATACAGTGTATCTTAGACTTTTAGCCACCCTGAACATTTCATCTGCTCCTACTTTTATATGATGCATGCTGCCCAATGCCCTGTTCTCATGTTGGTGTCATTTCACAGATGGAGTGGAGTAGCATTGTGTGTGGTCTGCTCAACATCCCCATGTCCATCCTCCCCAACATCCTGGACACCAGGTCAGTGCCCCTGTTACGCCCCTTTGAATAATTTATACAGCAAGCGCAACTCTTTGTTGAGTGATCCAAGGGCAATAACAACTAGATTACTAGATTGTTTCTGGCGCCATCGAACTAAACAAATTAAATTTACTAATTGGTTTGTTGGGAACAAATTTCCAGATGTTGTTGTCAATATGGAGGGGGTTTAAAGACTTCACCTCCACTCTCAAAGCCATGGGGTTTTTCTGTAAGTTTGCAGCTCATTCTTTTTGCTGACCCACGTTAACTCTCTCGCTCGCCGCATTGTCTGTTTGATGCTCACCCGGAGGGTCATCTGAGCTGTTGACACAGAGTGGCAGCTCTGGTACGCTGAGACGAGGAAGGCTCACTCAGTTGTTGATCGCTTCTTTGTCCAGTGAGTGGCATGGAGAAGGGTGGGTCAGGGGAGCTCAGGTGAGAGCTGTGGCGTTTTTGGTGAAGGTCTGTTCCGGAGGAATTATGGGCAGAAAAATCCATTAAAATCTACTTTTTTGGCATTATGTCTGGGTAAAAGTTTAAGCCACTCTAACCATGATTTTGTAAGAATTCTTTGTTTTAAAAAAATTAATAATTTTACTTTTTTCATTGATTTAAGGATTACGATTTAAGTGCGAGACAGTAGAAAATGAAATAAAAGTTATTTTAAAAAAAGACTTTCTATCAAAGACGTGTTACTTGAACACACTAAGAAGTAGAAAAAAATTTAAAACTTCTTAAAAGTCTGTCCAGCAGATATTTTAAAAAATTAATACAAATAAAATTTGAATGCTTTAGCTTCATAGAGTGCTTATCTACGCTTCTGCACAATTTAACAATCTTCAAGCCTCATAGAGTGCTTATCTACACTTATGCACAATTTAACACAATAAAAAATTACTTAAATAAAAACTTTTCTAACAGCCATTATAATCATCAGAACATTTACTGCAAGGCTGTTATATTCTACTGCCTTTGAGCCCCTACAAGCAATAATGGCTATATTCTACTACATTTGAGCCCCTACAAGCAATAATGGCTATATTCTACTACCTTTGAGCCCCTAAAAGCAATAATGGCTATATTCTACTACCTTTGAGCCCCTACAAGCAATATTGGCTATATTCTACTACCTTTGAGCCCCTACAAGCAATAATGGCTATATGTACCAGTCTGACCCAGTCAAACCAAGACAATGTTGTTTTCTCCTTGTTTTAATGTGTGTCCAGCCAGATCTTGTTTTAATGTGTCTCCAGCATGGGCGCCCGCAGGTAGGGGCAAGGTGGGACACTTGCCCCCTAAAGAGAAAGTAACTAAGCTGATGTCCTTTCCGTTCGTTGACCATACAAATACGCTACAGTAAATTAAAACTATATTAAAACATTACTAAAAAATTTTTGCTCCACCCCCCCCCTCCCTTAGAAAGTTTTATCCGGGCGCCCATGGTGTCCAGGCAGGTCTTTTTTCCATGTGTGTCCAGGCAGGTCTTGTTTTCAACCATTTCAAGTTTGAACGTTTGTTGACTCCTCAGTGGTGACTTTGGCTCAACTGATTCAGAAGTGTTTGGTTTTGTGGTTCCAATTACAGCAGTTGTGAGTACATTTTTTTCTTTTGAATTAAGCTTTATTTTAATTTTATTCCTTCGTAACAGTGACATTGTAACAGTGGAGTCATATCATAACCAAACTCTGAAATTGTAACAGTGTGGGGATATGTCATACCCTTACTCTGACATGGTATCAGTGGAGTCATATCATACTCTTATTTTGACATTGTAACAGTGGAGTCATATCATGCCCTTACTTTGACTAACAGTGGAGTCATATCATACCCTTACTCTGACATTGTAACAGTGGGGGTCATGTCATACACTTACTTTGACATTGTACAAGTGGAATCATATCATATCCTTACTCTGAAATTGTAAAAGTTGTGTCATATCATACCTTTACTTTGACATCAAATAATTCATATATAGTTTTCAGATTGTAGTTCATGTTAGGAGTGTTATGAAAAATAAATTTTAAAAATGTGTTAATTAATTATATCAATTTTATAAAAGCAATTACAATCTTTCTCTTTGTTGAATGTATCTGCTTTAAGATTGCTGATCAGCAAGGTGCCATGTTTGGTCAATGTTGCTTTGAAGTTGGTGACGTCAAGTGCACAATGGGTACGGGGACTTTCCTTGACCTTAACACTGGCAGCAAGCCCCATGCATCCATCGCAGGTGAGGATTAATTTCTCTCAAGTGCTTTGCCAAGAAAGGTCATTCTATAGGGCGGGTGGGTTTTCAGTGGCTCACCCAGCATGAGACAGTTCATTTTTGTTTCTGTTTAAACCGACAACCGTGATGTTCTGTCCATCTGTGCAGGGCTGTATCCATTGATTGGCTGGAAGATTGGGAAAGAGCTTGTCTTCATTGCTGAAGGACAGTGTGCTGACACTGGGAACATCGTGGAGTGGATCAGATCTGTAGGTTTACTGACAGATGTGGCAGAAAGCTCCGATTTGGCCCTGTCTGTGCCAGGTAATTTGCATTTCTTGGCTGGACTTCTCCTTATCAAGGAAAAAAATAATTTAATAGCAACCGCCCCCCCCCCCCTTTTTTTTTGCTTGAAGGCCGTCAAATTGCCTCTCTGCTTGTTGCAGTATCTTGTGTTTGTTTCCGACCAGATTCTGGTGGAGTTGTGTTTGTCCCTGAAAAAAAAAATTTTAAAGCCACCCGCCCCCCCCCCCCTTTTTTTTTGCTTGAAGGCCGTCAAATTGCCTCTCTGCTTGTTGCAGTATCTTGTGTTTGTTTCCGACCAGATTCTGGTGGAGTTGTGTTTGTCCCAGCATTCAGTGGACTGCAGGCCCCGTTTAACGACGACAAGGCAGTGACCGCGATGTTTGGCATGAACCCCGGCACGACCAAGGCTCACATGGTCCGAGCCATCCTCGAGTCGCTAGCCTTCAGGTTCAAGGCCCTCTATGAGACGGTGCTCTTGGAAACCAAGATACCTTTATCACATGTCAGGTGAGATGACCTCAAAGATACCTTTATCACATGTCAGGTGAGATGACCTCGACACCTTTATCACATGACAGGTGAGATGACCTCAAAGATACCTTTGTCACATGTCAGGTGAGATGACCTCGAAGATACCTTTATCACATGTCAGGTGAGATGACTTCAAAGATACCTTTATCACATGTCAGGTGAGATGACCTCGAAGATACCTTTATCACATGTCAGGTGAGATGACTTCAAAGATACCTTTATCACGTGTCAGGTGAGATGACCTCAAATTTACATGTTGGCAAGATAGGTGGGTTGAAAAAAAAGTCTGCCTCCGTCATATGATGGCACTTGTTTTTTCAGGGGGTTACGTTTTCATCAAGAGGCTGAATGCTGACATCGGGCAATGCATAAATAAATGTAACTTTGATCAAGGTAACCATGCAATGCATAACTACAGCTTCTTACGGTTGCCGTTACTTTTTCGTACCCATCAGGGTGGATGGTGGTGTGGCCAACAATGACTTTCTGGTGCAGATGATGTCAGACCTGGTGGACCAAAAGATAGACAGGTGTCATCATGGGGACATGTCATGTCTAGGGGCTGCTTTCTTGGCTGGTTTGTCCAAAGGTGAGATCTCTTTTCTTAACAGTGTCATACACCCCCCCTCCTCCAACATCCGCCCCAAACATAACATGCAAACATTCACATCATTATGTTGTTTCATGTTTGTAATCTTTTTTTCAGACAATGTGCATACTGCCAAAATTGTCCAGAAACCTATTTTTGACTTAGAAAATGAGCATCTTGTTTATCCATAGGTTGGGGGCAGATTTTTTATCCACAGGTTGGGGGGGGGGGGGGGGTTCCTTTTTATCCACGGTTAGGGGGGCAGCTTGTTTATCCACAGGTTAGGGAATGGAAGGGGGGGGGGTGTTATTTTGTTCAAGAATAAAATAAGTTCATACCTTGGACGGCCTTTGAAGAATTAAGCCCTGCTGTCTTAAGGGTGTGGGACAGACGTCGTGACCACGCTTTAGAGCTGTGTCGCAATGTTTGCTTAAAATAGGTCAATCAAATTTCATTGAACATCAATGCTGTATCAAGCTATTTTTTGTATATTGATGAATAACAAAGAATTACTCTGCATCATTAAGATTTAGATGATTTAATTTGTCTACTCACCCGACCAGGTGTTTGGAAGGACAAAGAGGAGTTATATACCCTGCAGCAGTGCGACAAAGTTTTCGAGCCCCAGCGCAACTGGCCATGGCTGAAAATCCTCTATCACAAGTGGGAGAACGCAGTTCATAGAGCTCAGAATTGGTATCCATCTTCACACTGACCAACAACAAAATTGGTACCCATCTTCACAATGACCAACAACAGAATCAGTACCGATCTTGACACTGACCAACAATGGAATTGGTACCCATCTTCACACTGACCAACAAAAGAATTTGTACCCATCTTCACACTAACCAACAACTGAATTGGTACACATTTTCTCACTGACCAACAATAAAACTGGTACTCACCCTTATGCTGACCAAATGATATTCAACATCAACTCTTATTTCAGCCCAAACACAACATACAAGACCGTGATTTACTTATCGATCTGACATTTTTGTACCAAATAGCTTTTCCAGGTAACATACTGCATTCCTACAGCAATAATTGGTGGACTATGGGCAACACTGTCACTGTAAGACCTTGAAAGGGATATTTATTTTATTTAATGGCCAGTTGTTGTTTTTTTTAAACTTTGGTCATAAACAAGAGAGTCTGGCCATTTGTTACAATGGCATGTCTGTTTTTTAGTGTGTGCATGTGCCAGATTTTCTAATGATAAAGTAAAAACAGTCACCAGGACTAAAAATTTTTTGGGGAAAAATAAAACACTGGTCAAATTATTTCATAAAGGTATACAGCGGATAATTTCTGAAGTTAAGGCAGCGGTAGTCTGTTGATGCCCGACATCAGATTTGTGGCCACCGTAATCAAATGTGTGGCTACTGACATCAAATGTGTGGCTACCAACATCTTATTTCTGCAGGCTGAGGGCCACTTCTGAATAACAGTACCTCAAGCATATGAGCCTTATCCAATTTGTTACCATCATATAAATATATACTGTATTATATATTGATCTGCATTTCTGGTAACTCTACCATTGTCCTCCTCACTGAACTTTCACTGTTACCCTCACATGTTGATGCTCAAACTATGCCGATGCTTGTCAGGTTTCAGCCTCTGACTAGGATACAATGCTGCATGAATTTATATATTTATTATTTTTGGCTGGTGCAAACTTTTTAAAAAAAATATTGCAATTAAAAAAAAAAATTATTTTTAATTCAGGGGAAAAAACTTAAATAAATTTTATCCTGATGTTTAACTAAATTTGCTGTTGTGTCCCTCTAAATCAGAAATTTTTTATTTTAATGCTTTAAAAATGTTAAAATTTAAAATGTTTACTTGATGATGCAAAAAAAGTTACAAATGTAGTAAATGTTACAAATGTGGTCTTTTCATCATCAGTCTGCTGGGCTACAATGACCAATTGGTGGAATTTATGTAAGGAATGTTATCATTGTAGATTATAGGGCAGTTATGAATGTTGAAAGAAACAGGTGATTGTCGTGACACACTGTACTATGTACAAGCTTGAAAAGTATTAATCTTATGTCAATATATTTAATCCCATGGTATCTGCATGAATACTTATTTGTATGCAATGATCTCTCTGTTAAGTATTTTACTGTATCTAACACAATAATATGAATCTATGCAATTGTTGGGTGGGTTTTTTTTGTTTTTTTATTCTTAAAAATATTTTTTTATTTTTATCAGCTCCTCTGCACTCTTCCCTTGATTTTTAAATATGAAAGATACTATTTTTATGAATATTAAACCAAATTATAGGTAGCCCTCGGATTACGTTGGTCCCATTTACCTCAATTCACAATAACGTCGCATGTCTGCGTGCTAGGATTTATCTCGGAAAAAATCCTAATCTAGCTAGAGAATGCATGCGTGCTAGGATTCGAAGCAAGGGTACTCCAGCGTAAAATGAGGACTACTGTTTATCTAAAAAAAAAAAAAAAAAAAAACTTTACCAGTGGCTGTCGGTGTTAAATATTACAAAAGAAAAAGTTTGTTTTGATGTTTGTCTGTTTGGGGCTATTCCAGCGTAAAATGAGGACTACTGTTTATCTAAAAAAAAAAAAAAAAAAAACTTTACCAGTGGCTGTCGGTGTTAAATATTACAAAAGAAAAAGTTTGTTTTGATGTTTGTCTGTTTGGGGCTATAACTTTATAAGTTATATATTCCATTGATTGTATTCAATTATTGTAATTTATACTTTTCTATGCACTATTCAGAGATTTTTAAAACCTATATTATATATTTTAATAAAAAGGGCCGCGTGTCTGGATTCTTGTTGGTTTTTTTTTTTCATTAACTGTATGATTTGTTTGAGGTGTCACGTGACAAACCGCTTGTGTCTGCAATGGTTTGCATAAAAAAAGGTTTTGGGTTGTGTGTGTGGGTGGGGGGGGGGGTGTGGGGGGGGTTCTGAGAAGAACGGCTGCACTATGGCACCAATAAACTTCACCGTTACATGTATACGTTTCTAAAAGTGATAAGGGCAATAACTCCGCTGTTCTTAACACTAGGTTTAAGCTGGTAATTTCCCTTCGACTGCACCGTCAACATTGTTCGAAGTTGATTTTTGCAATAGGGTAATAGTAGTAGGTTCGTTTGAACATAGCCGATATCAGGTCCAATACTATGTAGGATGATTATCATCAATGGCACAAATACGTTAACACGAGAAAAGAGTGTGTGTTACAAGGTTCGGTGTGTGTATGACAAGATTCGTTGTGTGTATGGACAAGGTTCGTTGTGTGTATGACAAGGTTCGTTGTCTATGACAAGGCTAGCTATGTATGGAAAAGGTTTGAGTTCAATGAGACGTCACTCCTTGGTTTGAGATTGTATAAAGACTCGGGGGGGGGGGGGGGGGGGGGGGGGGGGGGGGGCAAGGCATGTTGTCTATGGGCGATCAGCGACACCTAACCATTTCCAAATTCTAATAAATAACATTTTCCCCATCACTTCTGTTAATGTTGTGTATTTAGAGGTTATGTGGCAATATTTTTTTTATGGTCTTCTCGACTTAGAGGCCGACTGCATTCAGGCTTAATTCAGAGGTTGTGACGCCCCGACAATGTACCGAGTGGAGTAGCTAGAGGTTTTGAGGCCCCGGCCGTGTACCCAGTGGAATAGCTAGAGGTTGTGAGGCCCTGGCAGTGTACCCAGTGGAATAGCTAGAGGCTGTGAGGCCCCGGCAGTGTACCCAGTGGAGAAGTTAGATGCTGTGATGCCCCGGCAGTGTACCCAGTGGAGAAGTTAGATGCTGTGATGCCCCGGCAGTGTACCCAGTGGAGAAGTTAGATGCTGTGATGCCCGGGGGCAGGCGTTGATCTTGCCCTTGTCGTGTACAAAAAACAAAATCCATACAAAATATACTTTTAAAATTAGCTACATAACGTGGACCCAAAATTCCGCCCGAAAATAAGTGCCTCCAGGGGTACAGCTGCCCCTTCCCCAGTCAGGGCGCGTCTTGGTGTTTTAAAAAATACAGGGAATCCCGGTTCATCGCTTCGAAATAAATTGCGTAACAGTTAAACACGAATCGTATACACGCAAATAGTTTGTACCAGAGCATAAGGACAGGCGAACGGGTTATTTTTGTCAAGCCCGTATCTTTTTAAAGTGGTCGAGTGAGAACGTTCACATCTCGTGAACAAAACGAGTCATCAATACAAGCAACAAACATTTGGTTGTTCAGAGTTGTTCAAGAGTTGTTCAGAGTTGTTCAAGAGTTGTTCAGAGTTGTTCAAGATTTGTTCAGAGTTGTACAGAGTTGTTCAAGAGTTGTTCAGAGTTGTTCAAGAGTTGTTCAGAGTTGTTCAAGATTTGTTCAGAGTTGTACAGAGTTGTTCAAGAGTTGTTCAGAGTTGTTCAGAGTTGTTCAAGATTTGTTCAGAGTTGTACAGAGTTGTTCAAGAGTTGTTCAGAGTTGTTCAAGAGTTGTTCAGAGTTGTTCAAGAGTTGTTCAGAGTTGTTCAGAGTTGTTCAAGAGTTGTTCAGAGTTGTTCAAGAGTTGTTCAAGAGTTGTTCAGAGTTGTTCAAGAGTTGTTCAGAGTTGTTCAAGAGTTGTTCAAGAGTTGTTCAGAGTTGTTCAAGAGTTGTTTAAGAGTTGTTCAGAGTTGTTCAAGAGTTGTTCAGAGTTGTTCAAGAGTTGTTCAGAGTTGTCGCCCTGCTATTTTAAAGTCTTTTTTTTTTTTTAAATCGACACGGTCAAGCGTTCTCTTATCCGTCTGATTCGCACAGTGCGAAATTCTTCGTTTATCGTTTTAGATTCCCATTATGAGTACATTTGTATAAATCTTCTCTTTTTTTCCAAACAACAAGAAACGAAACAAAACCAAAAAATCTGCGTTTTGCGGAGACGGGGCGGGGTGCTTTCGGTTACGGGAAATTTGATCGAAAGAAATTTCGTCGACGGTAAATTGATCGACGGAAATTTGATCGAACGGAAATTTGGTCCGAATAATTTTTTTCAGTTTACACGTTCATATTTTCGTCAAATTTCTTTTTGGTCGAACTAAACTATAAAGTAAAACAAAATAATGCGTTCAAAAAGAAATTTGAAGCAACATTTTAACGTAAAAACTGAGAAACAATGTTTCGACATAATTTCCGTTCGATCAAATTACCGTCGATCAATTTACCGTCGACAAAATTTCTTTCGATCAAATTTCCGGATAAGGGTGTTTTCGTGTTTTAATTAAAATAACAAATTTTGATTTAAAAGCCAACATTTTTGAGAAGTTGTTTGTTTCTAAATTCTTTATAGTGACTTCTATTTTTTTTTTTTAATTTTTAAATTTTTTTTGTTTTGTTTTGTGGCCGGCTGAAAAAAAAACTTCGAACGGCTCATCGTCAGCCCATCGAGCTGAAACTTGGCACATACTCTCATTGCTGGTAAAACACATTCTATCAAATTTTCAACCAACACCAAAAAAAAAAAATAAATAAAAAAATAAATAATAATTGTTGTTCCTGTTTTTCAAGGGGAAGATTAAGGAAGTTATGATGACACTGATTTCACGAAATAAAATTCCCGATAACTGCGCTAACGGAGATTCCTTTTGAACAAACATCGCAAGTGCGTTTGGTGCGTAATATTTTCTTTTTTGTTTTTTTTTCTGAAATGGTTGGAGAAATAACATCTGCGGTGTAAAGGCGGGTGTGTCATTAGAATATTACCGGTAGTGGAGTTCAGGGGCGTGGGAACAAAAATGTCCGATAGCGAGCCTTGGGAGGGAGGGGAGGGGAGGATGGGAGACGTTAGAGCACAAATTGCAGACCTGTTTACCCGCAAACTCATAAAATCATACAATTTCATCACAAAATCGTTCAATACGTTATCTTAATAGTAAAAAAAAAAAAAACATGCATTATATATAATGTATACATCTCAAAATCGTACATTGTACGCCAAAAACGTAAGAGTAAACAGGTCTGAAATTGAGATTCTTTTAAAGTGCCTTACTTGTATGCATGTCAAATGTTCAGCCCCAACCGCATCGCTCAATTTGACATTTTTATGAAGGATTTATACCAACAACAACAACAACAACAAAACCAACGTATTATTTAGGGGTAGTTTAATTTTAAACTTAGTTCTGTAGGTCAGTTAGGTGAACTTTTATCATTTTATTTTTAACATTTAAACTGTGAAAAGAAGGAGATACTCCTGACTCTGACGTCAGCAACAGCTGGAGGGGGGAAAAAAGGTGTGAGGGGGGGGTGGTATCAAAGGTAGTGGTTGGATCATAAGTGGAGGGCCGGGTTGAAATGAAGAAATACTTTTTTTTATATTTTTTTTTAAGTGATCCATTCAGACGATACCTGACGGTGACCACTGACCACCTCGTGACGACGTGTTTGAACAGGGTCAGGTCACTCTCATCACCACCACATAAAGCAAAGCCTCGCAATCGACGGACGACCGCCGCTATCGCATGCACCTATCAGGTCATTTGAATCACTCGCTACCTGTGGACATCCCCCACCCCCGGCCCCCCACCCCCCCCCTCCACAACCTTGAAACATTCCACGGTCCCCTCCAATATCCAAACCACTCTGGCATCTTAAACCAACGTCTCGGAAAATCTCCCCCGCGTGCGCGATAACTATGGCGACCTGCGCTGAGCTATTGGCGCGGCAGAGAGTGTATATCACGAAACCTCCCTTTTGAATTTCAACCGGCCACTCAACGAGGTTTTTTTTTTTGTTGTTGTTGTTGACAATTTAAAAAAAAAAAACCCACCACCCATCTTAATTAACCGATGAATTCATCAATTTCTGGAAATTATTCCATCTATTCAAGCCCCCCCCCCC